TTTTTGTGTCTTCAACTTGGAGTGCCCAACCTGTCAGCAGTTTAAGTTTGCCCTCTGTTCTCTTGGATTCTATGAGTGCCACATCTTACATCTTGTGTAGTATTGTTGCAGCAATGACCCACCCTCAAACAATCAAACAATCATCAGTTTGGGGCTTCAGTGACATCAGTCGTTTTGACGAACCGGCTCCTGAACCTGATTAACCGATGGACCGATGGATAATCATCTGGAATATGGACAGGGCCTTGATTTCAACTGCTTCCGAACTCCCAAAGGACATGGTGAGGTTTTGATCATCTACCATCATCTATCCATACTCCTTGGTTTGGTTCTCAAGCAAAACGGACAAGACTTGGAGACCACTCCAGAATGTCAAGCAATTTCGGTTCCAAGCGGGGCCCCGCTGGGGCTCGCACCGCTGCAAACGGCTGCGACTCTGCCTGTCCCACAGCTAAGCGGAAGACTCAACAATCACCTAAAAAAGGACCAAGCCAGTTGGGTGTCTGCGGACGGCGACCCTGTTCAGTAAGTATTCGCATACGTTGGGCTTCTCATCAGGTGCAACAACAACAACAACAACAACAACAACAACAAGAACAGCAACAGTCCTGACAGTAAACAAACTAACTACAGGGCTCAATCTCCCGATCTAGAATGTTCAGATCCACCACCCCGCTTTGCAGGCTGTTTATGAACCTGGACGTGACAAAGACACGTACCATGCCAACTCTTTTTTCAACTGTTCCTCGGACGGTGAACCCATCGGATGTTCGTCGGACTAGGATTGTCGTGCGGCCGGGCCTCTTTCATCAACTCCTCCAACTGCCCGTCTTCGACGGCCTGGGACAAAAACACTTCGACGAAGGGAAGTAACCTGAGACATGTCTACTTCATCTCGAAGATCTCTCTGTGCCGACTCCCCAATGAATCGATCTTTTAGCAGTAATGGTGCCCCTTAGTTGTGCCGTATAGTCATATAGTTGGCATAGTTTGACACGCTCCCACTTGGGCATTCGAAGCAGCCTTTGGGTCAGCGTGGAGTCAGCCGCAGAAGCCGGAAATATCAGCTTCCCCCTTCACTCAGGCGTGCTGGTTCTCGTCCCAATCCCCTCTCCAAATTTGTTCTCCAAGATTGACATGATGGTGACCTTGCTGTTTTTGATGCTTTTTGTACAGGCTCAGAAAACTCTTACAGTACTTGTCAAAACCATTCTTGACGAAACTTCCTTCCCCCGAACTGAGCCTTCTGCCCCTGTCTCCCAGAGGCATCAACACCGCTTGCGCGCGCCGCGTGTACCGCACCACCGAGCCCGCCTGACCCAGGGCATCGCGGACCTGCAAGCGCAAGCTCTCCACATCACGCTCCTCCAGGGCGAGACCGTGGAGAACGTAGAGTCCACCGCTCTAGTAGAATGTAGTGTGTGTGTGTGTGAAGATACGGCCTCTTAAACTCTTGAACCATCTTGGAGTGGTTTGCCATGGCCACAAGTCATTATCTTTGTTCAGCGCACTGCATTGCGCTTATGTTCTTTTTTCAAGAGCGTTGGTGGCAGGACTAATAGGTTTGTTCCTTGAAGATGCAAAGCGAACCACCTCTGCATCCCAACAAGTTGGATGACTCCATGAAGAGTGCTTGGCATGGACCCTATTCAATATGCGCTGGCCGCTCTCCTCAGCTGGTGGGTCTCGTTGGGCAAACACCGCTTTATGCTCCACCTCGCAAAAGTCTGTTTTGTCACATGTTCCTCCAAATTGCACATCCACTCAAACTGCCCTAAAGGACTGGAGCTAAGACCGCAAAAGAGTGTCCATGGGATGTCGGGGCCCGTTGGGATATGGGGCCCAAAGCGTTGACCAATTGCTGTTGATTTTCAGGATCTCCGGATCTCCTACATGGCAGGGATGATCCTGCCTGCATGCCTGGAATTCTTCCTTCCTTGAGCTACGGCCAACGTCCAGAGAAACGAATCCTTGCTTTGCTTTTCTGTACGGCTTGACCGATTCAGGGAATCAAAGGCCTTGGATTAGCAATAATCATCAAAGTCCTCAACTAGGGAGTTTTGCTTCCGACCGATCCACTGGTCGGGTCACATTCGAAGTCTGCGGGTCGCAAGGGTGTTCACCACCAATTTACCCCATTCACTGCACAAAAAACCATGTGCGGTTCACTGTTCAAAGACACTCAACGCTGATTCCTTTGCCAAACAACCATAGACGCCATAGGTCACTTGTGTCAAGCTGTAGAACATTTCCTACTGCTAATAGCTCGATGCACAAAGGGCATTAAAGGGCTCACTCTATGTGTCTCTCCCATACCACTTTCTCTTCTTGATGGAGGGCCTTCACCAGCAACCGCTGATGAGTTTGGAGGCCTGGCACCTGACAAACACCCCACCTGCACACCTGAAACTACCTCTCGATTAGTTGGGGTTCTCAACCAAATGGAATGGGCATCACGGAATGGGGCTCTGACTGTGGGCACCACTGGCGCCACCTCCTTGGGCTGTGGGTTGACCTCCGGGATGGCCTGGGTAGCGGTCATATGAGTCATATGATAGTCATGTGGGCGCGTGCGAGCGCCCAAAGGGACCCGGAAGACCACGGAAGCCCAACAGGTTTTGGTAAAGGCGATGTCCAGCAAGACCTCTATTGTAATTTGTCCCTCACAACAAATCAAACCTGTAGCTATTCAAAACCAACGGAACTTCGATGACATGTACGGAAAATGACCCATCAGGGCTGCTCTGTGTGGCTTTCAAGTCTTACAGTGCACCTGAGAGATCCCGATTTTAGAGATCTGATTGGCTCTCTTATGTTGATCTCTCTGAGTAAGAACTCAGCCACTCAGTTCTCCAACTGAAATGTGTATCAACCACCACTTCATGTTTAGTTCACAAACATGATGCGCTGGACGACCAAATGCCACATGTTATCTCTATCTATCTCTCTCTCTCTATATATATATATTATATATATATGTATATATCATAGTCAAGCGTTGTACACGTCAGCATGAATCCATTACAGTGTAAAAAGTAGAGTAATCATTCCGTGCTGCTGGCCGCTAAAGGGAAGGCAAAAGCTTCGCGAGGAAGAACCTTTACAAGCTGCTCCCTGGTTCAAAAGGAAGAACCTTTACAATGGATGTGGCTTGTAAAGGATTGTCTACATGGATAACATTGAGGGGATTGTCCTCAAGGCTTGTCCACATGGATGTGGAGAACACTCCAAGTCTCCAATCCCCTCAGGTCTCCATCAGCTTCCTGGACCAAAGACCCAATCCAAGACGGCATTGAAGAGAATGCAATGTCCATAGAAGATCGGTGCCTAACATACTATAATTGTATATATGTCGATCTCTAGTACATTCTTTGTGAATGGAATTATGTGTATATATATATATGTACATAGTTAAATTCAATATAGTTTATAACCTGGATCATCAATAGTCTTTGGCTGCACCATGCAGGGCAAGCCACTGCTACAGTAGAGACTGGTCAGTCATGGAGGATTGTAGCTGCAGCTCCTCCAAACGCTTCAAACCTCCTGATGTGTCCCTGCCATTTTCTCGAATCCGCCCGAGTGCGACGTCGCCGGCGCTCGCCTTCTTCAGCAATGGTTCCGTGAAGGCCGTCGTGTCATTGCTCTCGCCCCCACGCGGCCGCCCGGCCACGGAGGCCAGGCGGAACCTGGGGTGAGCGGCGGACTGCTTCGAGGTTCGGAGCGGTGAAAAGGAAAAGGAAAAGGGCCCAAAGGTTTGGAAGAAACAAAGCAAAACGCATTCAGCATGATCTAGATGTCCAAGGATTCAAAAGGCCACTCATCCACTAGCACTGTCCTTTCCCAGCTGTTTCGGAGCACTCACTTTCCTTGGGTTGCAACCGTTAACCGTAGGATGTTGTAGGGGATCGACGCGGACCGTCGCCCTGGGCAGTCGCCCCTCGATTTCGAGGCACTTCAACCGTCATCCTCAGCCAACCATTTCGCCATATTTAGCCCTGCAGTAAACTCAAACCATCCAGAATCTCTAATATACTTTATGTTCCTGGAGACGTTGTTGCTATTTGTAGCTACTAAGCTTCTGAAGAACTCCGTGTCACCTGCAAGTCATCCATCCCAACTGGCCACGATACTGATCCGAGATGAAGCTGTAGGGATCTTTGGGCCGGTCCCGGATCACGGTCTGGCCCGCGGCGGCAACAGGCGGGTGAATCACACGGTTCACCCGACGGATCAAGGGACCATCGCTACAAGCAAAATGGTGGCTACAACCGCTGGCCGCAAAGACTCCGAATCAACCAGACTTCCAAGTTTACATGTTGCACAAATCAAGTCTGACTTGAATGTAACAGCTCTTCCAGGCTCACCTGCAACAAAGCTCTCACAAAGGGAAGAAGTTCGTGAGACTCCAGGTACCTCAGCCGATGCACTCGACGAGTGGCTTCGAGGAACAAGGCAAACACCTTCTACTCCAGTGCCGATGAGTAGACCAAAGCAAGGCTGCAGTTCGCTGCGGCCCCATAGCTGGAGGAATATCTATGGACAATCTTCGCTTCAGTGTCAAGACAACCGCCAAATGAGCTAAATGCTCAACATATGTGTATATATATATACATACACATTATACATTATATTATATATATATATATCAATTGTGGCTTCAAGCATCATGGCACGTTTCAAGAGTGCATGCAAACACAAGTCAATGTCAGTGTGGGACTACACACACATGTTGTTGAACTTCTTGCCGGTCCAGTTCTTAGTTCTTCGACCCAACAGCCTTAAGTGGGCACCAAACGCATCTGGTTGTCCCAAGAAACAAGGCTCTATGTACGAGCAAGGTAAGACGTACCTATCTGTAGTAGGGTGGATTTGATCAACAAACGCCATCCACCTCAGCTGTTGACCCCGCTGCAAACAATCAATTTACTTGACGTAATTGACTGGGTTTGCCAGGTGCCTGGAGGAACCTGAGGAAACCCTGTGACCGGCACATGATTTCGTCCAGAGAGTCTGTGCTCGTCCTGTCACATTCACGATTTCTCCGTCCTGATCTGCTTTGCGATAGCGGTAAACACTCAGTACTCAGTACATGAAAAATAACCGAGAGACACCATCCAGTTTGCACTCACAGCAAGACTTTGAACATTATCGTCCATGCACAGTCACTTGGGTCGGATTCGGATGCAGTCAGAAGCTTCGCTGCACATCATTGTACCTGGCAACCTGCCCTTTCCAATTCTGGTTGAGCTGGACAGCCATCGAAGGCCCCAGGGCCTATTGAGATCTTGCGAAATCGCCAGGCACTTGGCACTCGCACTGTGGTCAAAGAGGTGCAGCCATTGAAGGCACCATCTCCAATGGATTTCACTGAGTCAGGGATGTTCACACTGACCAAAGAGGTACAACCCTCAAAGGCATGGAATCCCAGCTCTCTCACAGAGTTGGGGATGGTCAGGGTTTGCAAGGAGCTGCAGCCTTTGAAAGCCGTGTCACCGATGATGATGAGAGAGGCGGGAAGTGTCAAGCTGGGCAAGGACCTGCAGTTTGCAAAAGCACCTCCCTCTATGTATGTAACTGAACCAGGGATTGTCAAGCTTGTGAGAGCAGTGCAGGCACTAAAGGCACCTGGACCTATGTGCACCATAGAGCGGGGGATTGTCACACTTTTCAAAGCAGTGCATCCCTTGAAGGCATCCTCTCCGAAATAAATCACCGAGTCCGGGATAGTTACACTTTCCAAGGAGCTACACCCTTCAAAGGCCCAGGATCCAATGTCTTTCACAGAGTCTGGTATGACCAAGCTCCTCAATGAGCTGCAATCCCTAAAGGAAGCCTCCCCAATGAGAACCACGGAGTTTCCAATGGTCAAGTTCCTTAGGGAGCGACAAAAACTGAAAGCTCTGCGCCCAATGTGTGTCAAAGAGTCGGGGATCTTCGCGCTAACCAAAGAAGTACAGTTTTGGATGGCACCTGCTTCAAACCGCGTCACAGAGTCGGGGATAGTCACGCTAGCCAGGGAGTTGCAGTTGCAGAATGCTTCCTGGTCAATGCGAACCACATGACTTGGGATTACAACTGCCAGCAAGTCTTGAGCATGGCAACAGGAGTCTTCCTTCCTGGAGCATTCAACGGAATCAATGGTATAGAGGACCTGTACTGCTGAGGCTGCAGAGATTCCTGCCTCATCGAGGTTTGTATTGTTGTTTTGCAGGCTCTTGCCATTAACTACCAGGTCTACCTTGGTGATCTGGCGCACAAGCTCATCTTCCTCACGTGGGAAACTTGGAAACACAGATTAAACCATATACAAATATATATATATGTACATTTCCCAAACCAAGCAGCCTACCTCCAGGAGAGAAGTTCTGTAAAGTAATCTTGAACCTCTAATGAGTCCAAGGCCATGTATAGCTCCTTGATTTATTTAAAAATATCTAAAACATGGTGTGAAAACCTCTGGACTCACAAGAACCACTGAGCAGAGCTTCACTTGGCCGCAAGATCCTCAACTTTTGCTTCAGCTCTCGGACTGTCATCTCTGGTGACACTTCCAGCGTCAACACTTGGCCGCTCATCTGCTCCACCGACAAGCAGAACATGGCGCTGTCGGTTTCCCACAAGGTGATGCCCACTGGGTTTTCAACCGACCAATTGGTACCGAGGTGATGCGTAACTCTCCGTAAATGAAGGACATTCAAGGGAACATTGTGAACTACTTGGCCAATTGTTTAGCAGTTTAGCATGCTTCATCAGCATGGGATTCTGTCCTCTGGAGAGAACCGACGACTAAGCAATTCTTTTGCAGAAGAGTCCCAATGCAAAAACACATTGATATAATAATCTATTTCAATTTACTTGATGTGCATGTCCGAATGATCTACTCTTGAACGTGCTGCAAGCTCCGACTCATGGCACCCAGGAATGCGTTCGACTACGACAGGTCCATACTGCATCCGAGCCACCACTACACAGTAGATCACACACATTCACACACAGTACATAGGTGTGGGTCATTGCGCGAAAACCCCCATCAGAAATGAACCGTCCATGGACGCCCAATGTCCATTTAATAGAAATCGGCGGAGCCAAACATAGAGGGCTTTGATATGGTTCTCCACAGCCATTCCCCAAACATAGAGCTTGTATGGCTGGAACCACGTGGATCCTGTATTTGGCACTCACACTGTCAACCTCCCTGGGTCTCCTCACTCTTTGGCGGCTGCTGCCTGGGAGAAAAAGCGCCGATCCTCCTCCTGACAGAGCCCGACACTGGGCCGTGGGCCGCCAAACATTGACAGTCACCGGCACCACCTGAAATCTCTCAAACCACCGTAAGGTGGTTTCAGAGTAAATGGCACAAACCATCACAAATCCCTAAATGTCTTTTAGATGGGGTCCATATAATCAACCTTTTGGGGATTGTGCCATCTACTCTTAACCCACTGTACATATTCTTGACTCTCTGGATCTCAAGTGCTGCACTTATATATTTCTTACAAAAAGAAGCAACAAGCGCGCAGCCCTCTCAGCTGCTTTCAGCTAGCTGTACTGGAGTGCCACCAGCTATCCAGCGATGTTTCTGGTGTGTGTTTATGTGTGTGCGTATATTGTATATTATGTATATGTAGAGAGAGAGAGAGAGAAAGGAGCAGGAGGACGGACTTTCACTTCATCGACACCGCAAACACACCAGACTTTTGGACCCTGACGAAGACAGGCCGACAGGCTGCATGATGAAGACAGACAGGCTGCGCTAAATCTTCTGGAGAGGCTGCAGTAGTGACCGGAAGCCGTCTCTTTGTTATAAAAATTGACGATTTCCAACATATGAAGAAACAATAACAAACATATGGGATCGAAATGGTTCGAATGTGAGACAACGTGGCCTACCTCTGCCGAAAAAACAAGAGAGGAGGAACCGAACAGCTGTAAAATTAGCCATAATTGGCCCAGTGTGACTGGTTCAGTCATTTAAAATGGTTTGTAGGACAGTCGAAGTCGGGACCAGTAAGTGGGTTCATGGATCAGTTTACTGTGAACCAAATGATGACGAACGAAAAACACCGTATGTCAGTGGGCACCGACTTCGGAAACGATGCAGAACAAATATGAACAAACCGCATTGCAAAGAACGAGCACGAAACATCCCATAGCGGAACGTCCACAGGTTCCCTTGCTTCCCAAACTTCATGGTGTCGCTCCTCGGATGCTGGATGTGGCTTTGGCTGGTTGCTTCTGCCCATCTCTCCTTGGCGCTGTGGAAGGTTTTGATCGCTTGCAACTTCAACAGACTCCCAAGCGGTGTTTGCCAAGGTTCTGTGGCGAACAAGACGCACACGATATGAACATCAAAACAACCGCGACCACAAGTAATGCATGTGTTTACCATGTGCTGTAGCAGTTCATTGAGAGAGGGTCCTAGGTGCAAATTCATCGCCACTTCTGACCGCCAATTGCCATTGCATTTTGATCAGTGAACATTTGGTTGGCTGGAAGCATCCAAGAGCTACCTACCCAGTCAACAGACCTGGATCCTCATCTAGACGAGTGCACCAACTTGAGCTATATAGAGGATGGCAAAGGCTGCTGGCTTCAAGACTACACTCTGCAAGTCGTGTGCGATCTCAAACATATACAGTATAGTTATAGTCTATAGTTGATACGACCACTACATGTTGGAACATCTTCTGTTTGAACATTCTTTCACAACACGGTGTCACGACACAGTCACAGTTCAAAACACAGCGGTCCGTTCTCATTTCACCCTGCAAACCACTGGCCGCTCCGATGGCGGCATCCTTCTCTCTTCCTCCGCCGCTCGTCGGTCGCTGCCGAGCCACGCACAGCGAAGGCCACGTTGACGTTCCCACCGTCGGTGCCAGCACCCTTGACGTCAATCGAATAGGTGCCTGTCGGGCTCCCCTTCAGGATGGGGAACCCGACGGCGAGGTGTTGGGACTCTCCGCTTTAAAATCGTGTTTTTCGGGCTTTAGGGTGCCGTTTGATGGAGGTTGTGGGCCAAGAATTTGAGGACCTATATTATCATTTTGCCGTTAAGCATGGAAAGAAAGCATGAACAAAAAACCTATGGACTTATGGCAGGATGTCATCACGTGCATCTTGTCTCTGGGTGAGCGGCCCACACCATGCGTGTCAAACCACACGAGTGGGGATTGTCTGAACGAAGGGTCAGGCCAAGTTAGGCCACTTTGTCATCATTTAATTCATGTTATTTTGTCTGTCAAACAAAAACAATAAACCCAAAGAAGGGCACACGCAAACAAACAACCATGGCATATGGGTTCTTTTTGGTTCGTGGCTGGGGTGGGTGGGGGGTGGGGGTGGGAGTGTAACGACATGCTTGTAGCGATGTAAGGATGCAGTTATACGTTACGTAATTTAACTCACTATGTTTTCCTTTGTGTATTAAAACGTGCTTCTTTCACCTATATGCTTCCATGCAACACCCAAATTAACCGTAAATCATTTCCAATAAACAATTCAGATAGTGAGTAATGACCTTCGAGTCGAAGGAAGAACACTTTTCCGCGAATCTTTAGTGAAAGAAACTTGCGGGTTGAGTTGCAAAGTGGTGCGAGTTAAATGAGTTAAGAACAATTATCATGAAAGAACGCTTGGCTGAACTTTTGGATAACTTCAAATCGTACTGATCATGAGACCTTCAAGAACACCTTTTTCTCGACACAAGCATCTTCCTTGGGAAAACGTCTGAAATTTGATGCACCGGCAAAGACACTTCTAAAACAAATCATATTGTATTATATACATACATATAGAAATACCAAGAAAAAAAAACCCACGGACAAGATAACACGCACGAGCATACGGTTGCAGGGCGGCGTATCAAGCACGTGACGCTGCCAGTTGCAGCACTCGCCAGTGACATGGCCAGTCGGCCACCCAGGTCTGGTGGCGCACGCCGACGTGACGTCGGTGATCAACGGTCCGTGAATGAAATGCACTGGGCTCAGGACATGCCACGTGTCAAAACAGTGTTTAAATGTATATAGACTTAAGTATAGGGAAGAAGGTTTTGATGGTGCAGGCTTTGTGAAGATACGAGTAGAGGTGTGGATGGATCTTTTTTAAGGTCCGTCAACGAAGAAAAGTGAGCCCTTCTAAGATCTTTGAGTCAACTAAGCTAAGACTGTGACTGAAAGTAGCTCCAACCAAAATGATATATAAACATGTCTGCTATAGATGCACTCCCCTCCAGAAGAGATGGACGACCGAACTCACCTAAACCAGTCATCGCCGAGTTCTATCCAAGCGTGCCGAGCGCCTTCCCCTGGTCGAAGGGCCAAGCGTGCCGAGCCCACCTGCAAAGGCAACTGTTTTCACCCGCAAGATATTCTTTTCCAATGCAAGGAACAAAAAGGATGGCCATCCAGCCTATCAGGGTTCTACGGTCGCACAACATAAGACATGAAAGATGAAGGGTGGTTGGAGGGGTTACGAACCGTTTTGTTCTGCCAACTTCAGGTCAGGCACTTCCAAAATTTGAAGACCATGCCTTTTGTGGTGGTCATCCTGATGCAATAGGCAAATTTCAAACACATCACCGATGAAATCTATAGATCCTGTGTTTTGTTCATTGACCGGGACCTAATGTGGCGCTGATTTGAAGCATCACAACGCCTGTCTGTTCACGCCTCCCATGACCTGGCATCTCCGGAAGACCCAAATATTTGTTTTCCATTTTGGTGTGATAGCTGTGACCGTTACAGACCCACAAAATGAAGAGTGATGATGTGAAGCGAGCTGTTTGGGTGCTTGTGTATGTTTGCGTAGTGCTAACCAGCCTGCAGTTTCAATCAGAGCTAACTTCAGCCGTCGGGTGGCCCGATGCCCCGCGATGCCCCGGAACATCCTAGACATCCGGGAATTCATGCTTATTCAACATACCAAACGATGATGGCACCCGGTGCCAGGCAGAGTCGCCCGGTGCGCAGCGCCTGCTGCAGAATGTCGATGCGGAAAGGGTTCACTCCATGCGAGCCGGTGAGACGGAAGGGCGTCCCCTGCCATCCGGTGCCAAGAAACGGAGAACGGCTTGGTACATGTCGTGGAGCATGAATGGAGCACCAAAACACTGAGACACTGAGCGAGTAGAATAGGAGTCTGCAACTCAAGAGCAAACCTTTAAAGATAAGGTGGCAGGACTTCACTTGACCAGCAAATTGCGTCGAAAACACTCGTCTTTGGCGCGCCTGTCCTAAGGAGGAGACGGCGGCCTGCTTGCGTTGGCTGCCAGCTCGGATAGAGACCACCTGCACTGCCACTTACGAGATCAGAGCGTGTTGGTTAGCATATATAAACACGCTGCCCACCTCCAAACTCCTGTCCACATGAGTCCATGCTGGTTCATACACGTCAACCGCACGTGGGTAAGATCTTTCTAAGGACTGCCTGCTGAGAAGTTTGGGCGATTTAAGGTGAGTCTCGAGGTCTCGAGTAAAGTCATCCAATCCATAAAGGGAAATAGATACAACATGGACCCTGAAAACCACTGGTTGGTATAGGAAAACAATCTTCCAGGTTACCATTGTCAGGGTCTATGTTAGTTTTCGGGAGTGTAGTCGCCCACATCTTCCATCCCCTACTTGCCCCAAGGCTGGCCTTCGCCTTGGCC